CCCAACACACACAGTATTCACACAGTATCCCCCCCCCACACACACAGTATTCACCACCAGTACCCCCCACACCACACAGTATTCACACAGTATCCCCCCCACCACATACAGTATTCACACAGTATCCCCCCCAACACACAGTATTCACACAGTATCCCCTCCCACACACACAGTATTCACACAGTATCCCCCCCCCACACACACAGTATTCACACAGTACCCCCCCACACACACAGTATTCACACAGTATCCCCCCACACACACAGTATTCACACAGTATCCCCCCCACCCCATTTTACACAGTATCCCCCACACATACACAGTTTCACACAGTATTCCCCCCCCACCACACAGTATTCACACAGTACTCCCCCCCCCACACACAGTATTCACACAGTATCCCCCCCCACACACACAGTATTACACAGTATCCCCCCACCACACACAGTATTCACACAGTACCCCCCCACACCACAGAAGTATTCACACAGTATCCCCCCCCCACAATCACACATTCACCGTATCACCACGTACCCCCCCCACACACAGTATTCACACAGTTACCTCCCCCCCAAACAGTATTCACCACAGTATCCCCCCCCCACCCCACACACACACAGTATATTACACACAGTATCCCCCCCACACACAACACAGTATTCACACAGTACCCCCCCACACACAACAAGTATTCACACATAATCCCCCCCCACCCACACAGTATTCACACAGTATTCACAAGTTACAACCCCCCCCCCACAAAAACAGTATTCACACAGTATTCCCCCCCACACAGTTTCACACAGTACCCCCCACCACACACAGTATTCACAAAGTATCCCCCCACACAACACACAGTATTCACACAGATTACACGTACCCCCCACACACACAACACCAGTATTCACCACAGACTCCCCCCCACCCACCACACTATTCACAACAGTATCCCCCCCACAAAATTCACACAGTATCACACACGTATCACCCCCAGACCCATCACACACAGTATTCAAACAGTATCCCCCCACACCACACAGTATTACACACAGTATCACCTCCCCCACCACACAGTATTCACACAGTATCCCCCCCCACACACACAGTATTCACACAGTATCCCCCACACACAGTATTCACACAGTATCCCCCCCACACACACAGTATTCACACAGTACCCCCCCACACACACAGTATTCACACAGTATCCCCCCACACCACACGTATTCACACAGTATCCCTCCCCCACACACACAGTATTCACACAGTATCCCCCTACACACACACAGTATTCACACAGTAACCCCCCACACACTCAACAGTATTACCCAGTCTATCCCCCACATACAGTATTCACACAGTATCCCACCCACACAAACAGTATTCACACAGTAATCCCCCCCCACCACACACAGTATTACACAGTATCCCCCCACACACACAGTATACACAGTATCCCCCCCACCAACAGTTACAGTATCCCCCCCCCAACACACAGTAAACCATTCCCCCCCCCACACACAGATCCACAGTAACACACCACAGTATCCCCCCACCCACACACGTATCACACAGTACCACCCCCACCACACACAACAGTTATCTCACACATATCACAACACCCCCACACCACACACACAGTATTCACACAGTACCCCCCCACACGACAGTATTCACCAGTATCCCCCCACACCACCTACAAGTATCACACAAGTACACCCCCCCCCCACACAGTATTCACAAGTACAACGCCCCCACACCCACCAATATTCACACAGGTACCCCCCCACAACACAAGTATTCACAAAGTATCCCCCACACACACAGTATTCACACAGTACCCCCCCCCCACACAACAGTATCCACACAGAATCCCCCTTCCACACAACACGAGGTAACACATCCCCCAAACAACACAAAATTCACAGAGTATCACCACAGTACCCCCCACACACACACAGTATTCACACAGTACCCCCCCCAACACACAGTTATTCACACAGTACACCCCTTCACACACACACACAGTTCACACAGATCCCCCCAACAACAGTATTCACACAGTATCCCCCCCACACAACAGTATTACACAGTATCCCCCCCCCACACACACAGTATTCACACAGTACCACTCCCCCAACACACAGTATTCACACAGTATCCCCCCCCACACCACACAGTCTATTCACACAGTTATCCCCCCCACAACAACAGTATCACACAGACCCCCCCACACCACAATCACACAGTATTACAACACAGTATTCACACAACCCCACACACACAGTATTCACACAGTACCCCACACACCAACGTATTCAACACACCCAACAAGTATTCACACAGTAATCCCCCCCCCACACACAGTATTCACACAGTTACCCCCGACCACACACACAACACAGTATTGCACCCAAGTTTCCCCCACACACCAACAGTATTCACACCACCATCACCCCCCCACCCACAACAGTATCACACAGTATCCCCCCACAACACATATTCACACCAGTACTATCCCCCCCCACACATGTAATTCACACAGATCCTACCCCCAACACAGTATTCACCAGACCCCCCCACACACACTATCAAAGTTTACACACAGTACCTACACCCCAACACACAGTATTTCACACGTATCCCCCACCAACACACAGTACCCCTGTACACACAGTACTCCCCCCCACACAGCACGTATTACACGTACCCCCCCCACACAATATTACACAGTATCCCCCCAAAACACAGATTCAAAACAGTATCCCCCCCAAAACATAAACAAAACCCCCAAAAAAGTTAAAGGATCCCCCAAACAAAAAAAAAGATCCCCCCAACAAAGTATCAAAAAAAAACCCCCCCCAAAAAAGTATAAAGTATCCCACCCCCACATAACCCAAAAGTTTACCCCCCCACACACAACCATATTCACACCGTACCCCCCCCACAACAGTATTCACACAGTATCCCCCCACACACACACAGTATTCACACAGTATCCCCCCCACCACAACAGTATTCACACAGTGATTTCCCCCCCCACACACACAGTATTCACACAGTATCCCCCCCCCACACACAGTATTCAACAGTACCCCCCCCCAAAAACACAGTATTCACCCCAGTACCCCCCCCCACACACAGTATTCACACAGTATCCCCCCACCCACAACAGTATGTCAACACAGTATCCCCCCACACACAACACAGTACAACCCCAGTATTACACAGTTTTCCCCCCCACCCAACGTATTCACACAGTATCCCCCCCCCCAAAAACACACAGTATACCAGATCCCCCCAAAACACACGGTATTAAAGTAAAAAAAAAAAACAGTAAATGATACAAGTAAAAAAAAATTTAAAATACCCCCCAAAAACAGTATTTACACAGTATAAAAAAAACAGTATTCACACAGAAATTTTCCCCCAAAAACAAGTATTCACACAGTACTCCCCCCAACACACACAGTATTATTTCACACAGTACCCCCCCCACAAAACACTCACGTATTCACACAGTATCCCCCCCACATACAGTATTCAACAGTATTCCCCCCCACACACAGTATTCACACAGTATCCCCCCCCACACAAGTATACACAGTTCCCCCCAACACACAGTATTCACACAGTACTCCCCCCCCCACCACAAAAGTATTCACAAAAGTATCCCCCCACACAACAACAGTATTCACACAGTATTCCCCCCCCCAAAAACAGTATCACACAGTACCCCCCCCCCACACACAGTATACACCGTATCCCCCCACACACACACGTTTAAAACCCCCCCACAGTATTCACAAAAGTAAACCCCCCCACCACACACAGTATTCACACAGTATCCCCCCCCCAAAACAGTATTCACACAGTATCCCCCCACACACACAGTATTTACACAGTACCCCCCCACACACTCACAGTATTCACACAGTATCCCCCCCCCCACATACAGTATTCACACAGTATCCCCCCCCCACCCCACAGTATTCACACAGTATCCTCCCCCCACACACCATATATTCACACAGACTTCCCCCCAAAACACCCGGATTCACACAGTTATCCCCCCCCCCACACACAGTATTCACACAGTATCCCCCCCACACACACAGTATTCACACAGTACCCCCCCACCCACTACAGTATTCACACAGTTCCCCCCCACACACCAACAGTATTCACACAGTATCCCCCCCCACACACAGTATTCACACAGTATCCCCCCCACACACAGTATTCACACAGTATCCCCCCCCCACACAACACAGTATTCACACAGTATCCCCCCCACACACACAACAGTATTCACACAGTATCCCCCCCCCACAACAGTATTCACAAAAGTTCTCCCCCCCACACCACAGTATTCACACAGTACCCCCCCCACACACACACAGTATTCACACAGTACCCCCCCCACCCCCACACACAACCCCCCCCACAGTATTCACACCGTATCCCCCCCACCCACAACCAGTATTCCCCACAGACCCCCACCCACACCAGTATCACACAGTTCCCCCACACCCACAGTATTCACACAGTACCCCCCCCACACACACACAGTATTCACACAGTACCCCCCCCCCACACAACACACAGTATTCAACACGTACCCTCTCCCCCCCACCACCACACAGTATTCACACAGTCTCCCCCCCCACACAACACACTTAGTCTTCACCACAGTATCCACCCCCCACACACACCTATTCACACAGTATTCCCCCCCACACACAAGTATTTCACACAGGACCCCCACCCCCCACCACAACATCAGTACTTCACACAGTATCCCCCCCCACATCACACAGTATTCACAACAGATTCCCCCCCACACACACAGTGATTCCACACAGTACACCCCCCCCCCACACACACACAGTATTCACACAGTAATCCCCCCCACACACACCCAACAGTATTCAACACAGTTATCCCCCCCCCACAACACAGTATTCACACAGTATCCCCCTACTCCACACAAACAGTATTCACACAGTATCCCCCCCTACACACACAACAGTATTCACACAGTACCCCACACACACACAGTATTTCACACAGTACCCCACCCTCACCCCACACAACACACACTATTCACCAACAGTATCCCCCCCACACACACACAGTATTCACACAGTACTGTAGAACGCTGTGGACTCACCAGCTCCCACTCTCTCCCAATGTGCTCTTCACAACAAACATGTGACTGGCTCAACTGTTCTGGGGATCTACGGTAAGCTTCATAATGTTAAATAATGTGACCGGTGAAATGAAAGAACGCAATCCGCTTTATCTCCTAACGTATTGAACACGTTGACTGCAGGTATTTACTTAAAAAGTATATTGACGATATATGAATACCCCGGTATATAGTATTTACGGTATACCACCCAACCCTAACACACACACACACACACACACACACACACACCAACACAAGGCAGTAGGTACCTGAGTTTGGGAACTGAAAGGCACTGAGCTGCTGTATATGAGGGCTGACTACGGCCCCAAACTGTCCTGCACCCCCCATCATCATCTGGGAGGAGGTACAGCCATGCAGGGCGTGGAGAGAGGAGGGCAGGCTGGGGGAGAGGGGGGAGGAGAAGGGGCTGGTAGAGGGGTGAGGAGGAAGAGGGGGTGAAGCCAGGCCTGGGCCTGTACTGGTACCGTAGCTGGGCGGGTAGGGGGACTGCTGGGGGTTGGTGGTCTGGGGGATCCGGGGGTTACTCAGCCCTCCTGATAGGCCACTTGCAGCAGCTGCGGCCATGTTGGCGGCGGCCATATTGGGAGGTAGGTTGAGTCCCTGGGCTCTCATCACCATGTTCCTCTGCTGCTGCTGCTGCACCGTGATTTGTTGTTGTTGTTGTTGTTGTTGTTGTTGTCTCTGGAGCTCCAGCTGGACGCTGTCTGAGGTGGTTACTGAGCAGCTCCCTCTGACGCTGGGCTAACATCTGAGCATTGATGGTCCCCTGGAGGGAGAGGGGGAGAGAGAGATTTAACTAAATGTTCTTTCTACAACATTTACTACAAAAATGTTATGCTGAATTAAATTACTGGCATTTCTATCATATTCCGTTACTATGTGAGAATCTCAGTAAACTACCTGGTTGGGGTTGATGGACTGTAGAGGTAGGTTCATATTGATATATAATCTCAGTAAACTACCTGGTTGGGGTTGATGGACTGTAGAGGTAGGTTCATATCATATTGATATATAATATCTCATAAACTACCTGGTTGGGGTTGATGGACTGTAGAGGTAGGTTCATATTGATATATAATCTCAGTAAACTACCTGGTTGGGGGTTGTTGGACTGTAGAGGTAGGTTCATATTGATATATAATATCTCAGTAAACTACCTGGTTGGGGTTGATGGACTGTAGAGGTAGGTTCATATTGATATATAATCTCAGTAAACTACCTGGTTGGGGTTGATGGACTGTAGAGGTAGGTTCATATTGATATATAATATCTCAGTAAACTACCTGGTTGGGGTTGTTGGACTGTAGAGGTAGGTTCATATTGATATATAATCTCAGTAAACTACCTGGTTGGGGTTGATGGACTGTAGAGGTAGGTTCATATTGATATATAATCTCAGTAAACTACCTGGTTGGGATTGTTGGACTGTAGAGGTAGGTTCATATTGGACACACCACTCATCTGGTTCATCATAGGCTGGCGGTTCTGAGGAGAACAGGTTAACAGGTACGTTAACAAAAACACTTGGAAATGAGTAGCTAGCCTACTAGCTAGCTAGACAATGATGATACATGAATTTGTATAATTCCTTGTCATTCCACTGATTAACCTGCAGGTGGGAGCCAGCGCACAAAGACCACCTTGCTATTCAACCATCATACGCAAACAGCAAGCCCACAGTGATAACCTGCCAAAATGGCAAGCCCACAGTGATAACCTGCCAAAATGTCAAGCCCACAGTGATAACCTGACAACATGTCAAGCCCACAGTGATAACCTGCCAAAATGTCAAGCCCACAGTGATAACCTGCCAAAATGTCAAGCCCACAGTGATAACCTGCTAAAATGTCAAGCCCACAGTGATAACCTGCTAAAATGTCAAGCCCACAGTGATAACCTGACAACATGTCAAGCCCACAGTGAAAACCTGACAACATGTCAAGCCCACAGTGATAACCTGGCAAAATGTCAATCCCGCAGTGATAACCTGGCAACATGTCAAGCCCACAGTGATAACCTGCCAACATGTCAAACCCACAGTGACAACCTGCCAACATCTCAAGCCCACAGTGATAACCTGCCAAAATGTCAAGCCCACAGTGATAACCTGCCAAAATGTCAAGCCCACTGTGATAACTTGACAAAATATTTCAAGCCCAGAGTGATAACCTGACAAAATGTCAAGCCCACAGTGATAACCTGACAAATGTCAAGCCCACAGTGATAACCTGACAAAATGTCAAGCCCACAGTGATAACCTGACAAAATGTCAAGCACACAGTGAT